GCAGGGACCTTCTTCATGTTTTATTTTCATTAACTTTGCAGTGGCCATGATAACTGCCTCCCAAGGACATGTTGTCATAGACATTGATGAGAGAGCCATTCTGAAACCTGAGGTAAACACGTTCCCAAGCAGGTTCTGAAACAAGAGTTCTTCAATTTATGATTTAAAAAAATGTTCTTTGTTTATTTTCTCCTTTGCAGCTTCAAACACAGAAGGTGAGATTTTCTCTATTGTAAGACATTATCCAGGCATGCTTGTCCAAAGTGACTAACTGCAGCTTTGTGTTGGTTATAGGAGGACGAGGTCGACTGGTGGTCCAAGTTTTATGCCTCTGTTGGAGAGCAGGCCAAATGTGGGCCTTATCTAAAGAAGGGATATGACACTTTAAAGGTGAAAACATATTCTGTGCCTTAAATTCATTTTATAAACTGTAAAAACTGTCAGTACTCTGTTCTGATGTGGTTTGTTTTTTAGGTTTACCAGCATGAGCTAGAAAAAGTTGAGCAGTTTCAGGGTCTGACAGATTTCTGCAGCACGTTCAAGCTTTATCGAGGAAAAACTGAGGATGAGGATGATGACCCCTCAGTGGTGGGAGAGTTCAAGGTGAAGAGGAGCTGTCAATCATAAAACTTCCTGTTGTTTTAAACCAAAAATTCAAAGCACGAGTTTATTAATTATGTTCAAATCCTTATGTTTTGAATAAAACTTTAGATGTTAATGAAACGTACATTTTAAATTATTACTGCAAATACAGTTTAACATGTTTGTCTTGCCTTTTTTTTTCCATTTGTTTTGTATTAAACAGTTAATTTTATCTTGGTTGGTAAGGTGAATGGATATCTATTACTTTTCTGCTGTCTTATTTCCTGACAGCTATTTCCCCCACACAGACTGAGAAGTTATGAGATTTGGTTTAATTTCGGGGTTTAAACTGGTGGTTTTGGTGTCGTTCAGGGCTCGTTCAAGATTTACCCTCTGTCTGATGACCCAGACGTGCCCCCTCCACCTCAGCAGTTCAGGGAGCTTCCTGAGAGAGGACCACAGGAGTTCCTGGTCAGGATTTATGTGGTGCGCTGCATCGACTTGCAGCCTAAAGATACAAATGGCATGGTGTGTGTGTGTTTTATTTTTTTGTGTGAAAATAACTAATTCCTTTGCAGATCTGATATGATTCTGAAGCTAAAACTCCAAACATTGTGTCTGCATGGTTATTTTAGTGTGATCCATACATCAAGATTGCACTTGGGAGGAAAACACTGGACGACAGGGATAATTATAAACCAAACACACTCAATCCAGAGTTTGGAAGGTGAGATCCGATCATTTCTCATTTCTGTAAGATTTTTATGACTGGAAACAGTTTGGACACTTGATTTGCTCTCCTTTTGTAATGTCCAGGATGTTTGAGCTGTCCTGCTTCCTGCCTCAAGACAAGGATCTGAAGATTTCAGTGTATGACTATGACTTACTGAGCAGGGATGAAAAGGTTGGTGATACGGTCATCGACCTGGAGAACAGGTTCCTGTCTCGCTTCAGGTCCAGCTGCGGTCTGCCACAAACATACTGTGTGTAAGTATGAATTTGTGCTTTATCACATTTGAAATCTAGAATAAAAAACAAAAGTAGTTTAATTTTTATTAATTCTTCAATTGTTTTGATGCTCAGTCGTGATCAAATTTAATCCATAGAGTTCATTTGGTTCCATTTTCTTGCAGGTCAGGGATCAATCGGTGGAGAGATCAGTTGAAACCTTTCCAGATCCTCCAAAATTTAGCTAAAGAGCGAGGTGTTCCTCCTCCACATGTAGAAGAAGACGGCAGCTCACTGTCTTTTTCGGGAAAACAATACAACTTGCAAGATTTTGGTACGGTTTGTATTAAATGTATTATTTTCACGGTTTTTGTTATTTAAGTTTTGACCTATAATTGCTGGACTTGTTACTGGTTGACATTCATGGTTTGTTTTACCCACCCTTTCCTCCTGTTGCTGTGTTCCTTGCAGAAGCAAACTCTGTGATTCACCCACACTTGGGCCCACCTGTGGAAAGACTGGCCCTCCATGTGCTCAGAAACCAGGGTCTGGTCCCAGAACACGTTGAGACCAGAACCCTGTACAGCTCACACCAACCAAATCTATCCCAGGTAAAAAATAATAATAATAAAATAACTGAACTGTTTGTAAATGAATTTGAATATATTTAATGTGAACTAGCACTTAAACTGGACAGAAAGTAGAAATCTGTTTTAACGAGAGTTGTCCTTTCAACTAATGCAGGGAAAAGTTCAGATGTGGGTCGATATTTTCCCCAAAAAGCTCGGCCTGCCTGGGCCACCGTGCGTTATCACTCCACGCAAAGCCAAAAAGTAAGCAATTCTTCACAGCTTTCTCATTTTGTAGCTTTCTAATACAGTTCACAATAGCTATGAGTTTGTTTGTTTTTTCACCTTTGAAACAGGTATTCCCTTCGAGTCATCATTTGGAACACAACCGATGTTGTTCTGGATGAAACGAGCATCACCGGAGAAAACATGAGTGACATCTACGTGAAAGGGTATATGTGACTTTAATCCTTCCTCTGTGCTTTTAGTTGGACGTCTTCATTCTGAGCACGGTTCTAAAGTATCTGTTTGAATTTACAGATGGATGCCAGGAATGGAAGAGGACAAGCAGAAAACTGACGTCCACTACAGGTCTCTGGACGGAGACGGGAATTTCAACTGGAGATTCGTCTTCGGGTTTGACTACCTGCCTGCTGAGCAGCTGTGTGTCGCATCAAGAAAAGTGAGGAACTAAACACTGAATGATGGCTGATGGGTTTGTTTTTAGGTAAAGTGTTGTCGAAAGTGACGATGTGTGGGTTTTGCAGGAGCACTTTTGGAATCTGGACAAAACCGAATACAGGTTTCCTCCTAAACTGATCGTCCAGATATGGGACAACGACAAATTCTCCCTTGATGATTACTTAGGTGAAGTAGAACCATCGCTTACTCCAGTTTGACCAGAGAGCGTAAAAACCTTGCTCAAACATCCACTGTATGATGTTTTTATTTGTTGTGTCACATTTCCTGTACAGGTTCTGTTGAGCTTGACCTGCTCAATCTGGTCCCTCCTGCCAAGACCCCGGAGAAGTGCAGCCTGAAGATGCTGCTGGGGAAGATAGGACCATGTGCCACCTCCAAGAACTCACTCTTCTCCCAGAAGTCTGTGCGAGGCTGGTGGCCATGTGCACTAGAGCAAGATGGGAAACCTGTTCTTGGTGTATGTTGGTCCATTGATCTATATTACGGTTAGGGTTAGGGCTTAGGGCTTAGGGTTAGGTTAGGGGTTAGGTTATGGTAATATAGATCAATGTGTTGGTTCCCCCTGGGTGTTGACTGTTTGAAGCATTATTTAAATAACTTCACAGGGGAAAGTTGAGATGACGCTGGAAATCGTGGAAGAGAAGGAAATGGAGGAGAGACCTGCTGGAAAAGGTCGAGATGAGCCAAACATGAACCCAAAACTGGACCCGCCCAAGTATGAACACAGCTCTTCTAATGAAACTATAGGTTGCTTTAAACAGATTCTCATAAGGTGAACACTTCTGCTTGTATTCACTCAACAGCCGCCCTGATACGTCCTTTTTCTGGTTTACAAACCCTTGCAAGACCATGAAGTTCATAGTGTGGCGCAGATTCAAGTGGATTTTTATTGGCGCCATTGTTCTTCTGCTGGTTATCCTGTTCCTTGGGATCCTGTTCTATTCCCTGCCCGTAAGACCATTAAAACTTATTTGATTTTTCCTGACTAGTAAAATTAATTAAAACTGAGATCATGTTATATCAAAAACATGTTTTTTATTTTTGGCATTTACTGCTGTGCTGTGAGAGATTAGCAAACAAAGTTTGAACACAGTAATGCTGAAGTTGTTTTTCCTTCATAGAATTACATCTCCATGAAGATTGTAAAGCCTTTTTCCTAAGGAGCACCTGAGAGAAGCTGAGTGCCTTTCTGCAGCCAAACCTACATTCCTGATCACAAACATTCTTCACTGGAAACATACAATAACTTGAATACTCTAAGTTTTCTTATCATCACTCTTTTTTCTGCACTCACAGTATTGTAAAATAAATTTAAAAATAATTGTACTCATGTTACAGTTTTAATAAGATCAGCATTTTATTATTTTTATGTAGAAATTGTTACTTTTTTATTTGAACTACTACTACTTTTTTAAATGTTCTGCATTAACACTAAAATGTGCTTTTGTGTTCATTTATATCTGCGAAAACATGCAGTTTTATAACATTTGTTTTATACATTTTCAAATGTTTTTGATTCTTTGTTCAAAAAAGGTCTCTTAATTTAATAAATAGCAAACTTCTTTAAATGTATGCTTTGTTTTTTGAAATCCACTCGAGAGGCAAACCAGATTAAATGAAATCGAATGTCACATTATTGAAATTACACTTGTGATTTAAACACTACAGAACGTGAGTGTTTTCTTTGAAAGAAGTTAACAACATTATCATAAATTTGTATCTCATTTATATTTCATTTTACCTAATTTATTAGAAGGTGGCTAATAATAGTAAGAAAAGTAATAATTAAGGAAGATTTTTAGGTGGTACTTAGAGAAAAAAATAGTAAGCTAGAGCAATTTATTTTACTTTGTCAATTAGTAATGCATTTATGTGTAATAATTAAAAGGCTGCAAAATGTAAATGAATTTGAATAAATCTGTGCATCGTGTTTTTATCTGCAGGTGGCTGCAGTTGCAATTTTTTCTAACCAGTAGGGGGCGTATTTAGATCCTGAGGGTTCGTTTCTGCTAAATCCCGCCCACCGGGCTTGATTGACATCTACGAAGAAAAAGATCGGATTACAAGATGGTGGTCTGTGGACGTTAGCTGGGGAGGCCATCAGAGTTGTTGTGCTCTCTTTGAATGTTACTACTTGAGCGTGAGGCCTTGTGTTTATTAGATTTAAGCCGTAGACGTATAGTGTTAGTGAAATAGCCAAAAAAGATATATTTCTGTTGTCTTAAAGTTCGCTTAGAAGTGCATGTTTTATAACATGCAGGTGGGGGAAAAGTTAACAGGTCGCGGAAAACACTAGGTGAAGTGATAGTCTGCGAGCAGCCAGCTAGCCTGCTAGCTCCGACTCGTTTAACCATGTCGGACACACGGCGGCGGGTGAAAGTTTACACCCTGAATGAAGAACGGCAGTGGGACGATCGGGGCACCGGACACGTCTCGTCCTCGTTTGTGGAACGACTGAAAGGAATTTCATTATTAGTTCGAGCCGAGTCGGACGGTAAGTTCTTCGTTAGCCTAGCATAGCCACATTTACGATACGTGGGCTAACTCCAGCATGCTAGCTTGTCCTGAGTGAGCGCCTCAGTCGCTTTGGAGCTTATAGTAGTTTTGTAAATTTGCTGTGGCGTTTGGAGCCCACGGTGTTTGACAGACACAACATTTCGCAGTCATCTCGTTCAAAACAACAACTTTCCGTATTTTTGTGCTTCGTTTGCTCATGTGTTTAACGGGCTACGTGATCGCACCACGGGCCCACCAGTCTCATATCGTACATGCTTAAACTTGTTATTACTGAATGTTTTAAAACTTTACCGATTTAGAATTGTGATTAAATAACCTGGCTAATAACCTAGTTTGTGTCAGATTTTATCTATTCTACTTTAAGCTTACTTTTTTGCCAACTAATTTAAGCATATTGTTTTAAAGTTGACTTTTGTTGATGTATCATTTTGTACTCTGTATACTGGATACGTTACTATCTACAATCTTTCAGGATCATTGCTGTTGGAGTCGAAGATAAGTCCAAATACTGCATATCAGAAACAACAGGTGACTAGCTTATTATGAGACCTTACTTTTCTTTACTTCACTTTAGAGTTCACACACATACGTTTCATTTGTCTAAATAAATACTGATTAGTGTGAATTGTTTTAAAGCAAAAGTGCACTTTTCTTTCTCTCCAGGACACGCTGATTGTCTGGTCCGAAGCAGATAATTATGATCTTGCCTTAAGTTTTCAAGAAAAGGCTGGCTGTGATGAGATCTGGGAGAAGATTTGTCAGGTACTGTTCTGCTTCGATTGTTTCTTTAAGATGTATTTTTTTGTGTTGGCGTTAATTTAATAACTGATCACAATTTCTTATTTAGGTTCAGGGTAAGGACCCTACTCTGGACATCACCCAGGACCCCATCGATGAGTCGGAGGAAGACCACTTTGAGGAGATTCCAGAAACGACCCATCTGGTTGAGCTCCCTCCTTGCGAGTTAAGCAGACTTGAGGAAATTGCTGATCTGGTTACCTCTGTCTTGTCCTCGCCCATCCGAAGGGAGAAACTCGCCCTGGCGCTGATGAGTGAGGGCTACATCAAGAAACTGCTAGGTCTCTTCAGAGTGTGTGAGGATCTGGACAACCGAGAAGGTCTACATCACCTCTATGAGATCGTGCGGGGTGTCTTGTTCCTCAACAAAGCAGCACTCTTTGAGGTTATGTTCTCTGATGACTGTATTATGGATGTAGTGGGTTGCCTCGAGTACGACCCGGCACTGGTTCAGCCAAAACGACACAGGGAATTCTTGACCAAGACGGCAAAGTTTAAGGAAGTTATTCCCATCACAGACTCAGAGTTGCGGCAGAAGATCCACCAGACGTACCGGGTTCAGTACATCCAGGACATAATCCTGCCTACTCCCTCGGTCTTTGAGGAGAACTTCCTGTCCACACTCACGTCTTTCATCTTCTTCAACAAAGTGGAGATTGTCAGTATGTTGCAGGTAAAAAAAAAAATCCAAACGAGGTTTCTTTCAGTTTGAGACACAACTAGCAACATGAAATATTTAAATGGATCTTTGTAGACCCAATATTGTTTGATGGGTTACAATTCTTGTAATACTTACACTGCAGTTGTATTGTTTTCTACTGTTCCATCACAAATATGTTTGACGTCGTTTCTTCTTTTGTAAAACAGTGTTTTAAACAGGATTATAAATAAATGACAAAAATTATTTCATTAGTAAAATGTGACATCACAGCATGTAAAAATGTAAAATGTACTCAGCATTTGAGAAGAGGCTGTGAGACGTACATGTAAATATAAAAGAAGTTGTGCTTTAACAGTGAACCAATTTAAATTGTCTTGGAATATTATAAGGCTGTTAAATTAAGGTGTGCATCAGAGCTTATTCCGTTTGATGTGATGACTAATTGAAGGATGTGCATCAGTTTGTTCAAGTCTTTTTAAAAAGATTTAATTGTTTAAAGCCCTTTCTCTGGGTACTCTGGTTTTCTCCCACAGACCAAAACCTGCGTGTTAGGTTAATTGGTGTCTCGAAATTGTCCTTGGTTGTGGTTGAGAGCGTGAATGGTTGTTTGTCTCAATGTGCCCCCATGATGGACTTGTTCAGGATGTACCCCGTCTCTCCTCGTCCCACTGGAGGTAGACAACAGCTCCCCGTGACGCGGAAAGGAAAAGTGTGTAAAAGAAAGTGGATAAATGGATGTTTTAAAGTCCATATATTTCAAAGGCTAATATCTCTGTCTGCTGGATGTATATTTCCTGCATAAACAGTTCAGTATTTCACTGTTTATGGGCTGCTCTGTATTTTAGTTGGTCTTTTTTTTATTGAGCTTAAAATGAAAGTTTGCCTTTGAAAGTTTCAGGTACTTGGTTTGCTACTAAATGCTAACGTTTAATACCAGTAAATACTCAAGTTAAATTCTGTTCATGAAACACAATGAAACATGATGTTACTATGTAAAACATCAAAGGGAAGATGGAAACACGATAGATTCCAAACAGTATGAATTTGTGTTAGTTTCTTCCACCTGTTCTGCAGGTAAATGGAAACAGTTCTAAAGATTATTCAAAATGATTGTGGTAAGCTCAAACAATTGTCACGGGGAATCCATTTGCTCTTTTCTTGGCTTTAAAATTGTTAAATTGTCTTAATATTTAAAACACATTTTGACTTTTCCACAGGAGGATGAGAAGTTCCTGACGGAGGTCTTTGCACAGCTCACAGACGAAGCCACAGAAGACAGTAAAAGAAGAGAGCTGGTAAGTCGGATCTCTGTCTACATCTAGTTTTATCTATCTGTGGTGATAATTAATGATGTCTGTCCGCGCTGAGCAATAATGTTTGTATTTTCCTGTCCTTTTACTCCTCAGGTAAACTTTGTCAAAGAATTTTGTGCTTTTTCACAAACGTTGCAGCCACAAAACAGGGATGCCTTCTACAAAACGTTGGCAAATTTAGGGATTTTACCTGCTCTTGAAATAGTCATGGTACGATACAAGTTTTGTTTGAATGATAACTAACCTGTTGTTTTCTAAATTGCCATCATTTTTGTGTTTTTATACACGATTTAATGGGAAAGTAAATGCATGTATAACTCCACGTCTTTCTGCAACGGTTTTTCCTCTCGTTCAGGGAATGGATGACCTGCAGGTGAGAGCAGCAGCTATCGACATCTTCTCTTACCTGGTGGAATTCAGCCCCTCCATGGTCAGGGAGTTTGTCATGCAGGAACCACAGCAAACTGAAGATGTAAGAACTAATGAAAACTTTTTTTTATTTTTTGAGAAATAATATAGTTTGTCTCAGGGGTTTTGTAAAGTACACTAGTTGTAATGATATGAGGGAATGTACTCTTCTCAGATTTGTTTTTGATTCTGTGATTTCATGTGGAAAGGTTTTGTTTTCCGGTCTGAATATGGCTCAGTACAAAACAAGATCTGATTGTGTGTGTGGTGATGTAATATAACACACACACGGGGTATGGTTAATGATTATCATCACCATCAACACTACAGTCATGGAGAAATAGGTTGATGAACTTGTTTTAGAATTCTTGCGTTTGCATTTCTTTTTGTTTTGTTTTTCTGCTTTTCTAATATGTACACAAAATACATTTAGAGAGTCTACTTTTTTAAAAAAACAAACTTTATTTTAGTAGTGCCAATTTCTTTGTGTTTTTTAAAGTTTTTGTTTGGAAGTCATGATTACATTTTATTCTTTGTGTGTGAATGTGTGTTTTTGTGTGTGCACTTCAGGATGTTCTGCTGATTAATGTGGTGATCAAGCAGATGATTTGTGACTCTGACCCAGAGTTAGGAGGGGCTGTCCAGCTGATGGGTCTGCTCAGGACGCTCATTGACCCAGAAAACATGTTGGCTTCCACCAACGTAAGCAAAACAACTACATTTGTGACCATTGTCAACTTTTAATTTGTTTGTATTTTGTATACAAATAATACTGCTTCCTAATGTAACCCTACTACTGCCGTATTTAATTTTGGGGATAAATCTGTTTTGGAGAGTGTGTTTTGCTGCAGATGAAGATTTTACGATAACTGCTTAAGATAATTTTAATAAAGATTATTATTCTGTTTTTGGCTAAACTGATTTTTTGTTTAGAGTTTCTGGGTGCTTGAATCTAATATATACATATATATCAGTTTTACTGCCTAAAATAGGTGCTTCTGCTGGTGGAGTGCAAACCCGTTTGTACCATTCAACATCAGTGATGCTTCTGTTGTGTGATCTCTTTTAGAAAACGGAGAAAACCGAGTTTCTGAGTTTCTTCTACAAGTATTGCATGCACGTCCTCACTGCTCCTCTGCTGGCCAACACGGCACATGACAAAAACTCAAAAGGTAAGCTGGGCGTCATTGAAGCAAAGAGTTTCAGATCGTATGATCAAATACTTTGTGGCTGACTGTTCTACTTTACGGTCTTTCAGATCAGCCTGAGAGTTCAGCAAAGATCAACCCTGTCTGTCCAGGTGGGTTCTGTTTACCTCATTAAACATTTTTTTTGTTGTTCAAAAAGGGTTTGCTTTGTTTTACTAGCAATTATTTGTTATCCTTGAACCAAAAAACACACCATCAAAACATTTCTTTGAGCTCAGCTGGAGCTGTGGCTGCACTTGATGACGTTTGATTAAAGGAAATTGCTGTAAATTGTAGTACATTTCTAGATTTGCAAATTGCTATAATTCTGTGTTCAAATCACTAGATATTTAGAAAAAATGACAGGAAGGGAAGGTGTAGTGTACAGCCCTTGGGTTGCTGTCTTGCCTAATTATAATATTCTCATCAGAGTTGTCTTTCTCGTTTGCGCAGACAATTTCCAGACAGCTCAGCTGCTAGCTCTGATCCTGGAGCTTCTAACGTTTTGTGTGGAGCACCACACCTACCACATCAAGACCTACATCATGAACAAAGATCTGCTCAGGAGAGTGCTGGTGCTCATGAACTCGAAGCACACCTTCCTTGCACTTTGTAAGTCCATTTATGTTATATTTATTGCTCTAAACCACTACATATAATTATATTTCTCCTCAAATTTAGATGAAAACACAGCATATTTATTTCTTACGACTTCTCTCTCTTTTTTTTAAATTTGTCCAAGGTGCCCTGCGTTTCATGCGCAGAATCATTGGTCTAAAAGATGAGTACTACAACCGCTACATTATCAAAGGGAATTTGTTTGAGCCTGTCATTAATGCCCTGCTGGACAACGGCACCCGATACAACCTTCTCAACTCGGCTATCATCGAGCTCTTTGAGTTCATTAAAGTGGTGCGGAAACATTTGATTAAATCTCTTCATTGTGTTTGCAGAAAGTTTGATTTTTTATTTTTATTTTCTCCCTTATCATCACAGGAGGACATCAAGTCTCTTATCGCACACATTGTGGATAACTTCTACACAGCACTTGAATCCATCGAGTACGTTCAGACTTTCAAGGGTCTAAAAGGACGATACGAGCAGGAAAAAGACCGCCAGAGTCAGAAACTCAACAGGTCAGTTTCCTGGTCGGTCACATGTCAAATCATTGTTTTCAAAATTAAAAGGTTCTTGTAAGACCTCATTTTGTAATATCAGCGCATTATGTAATAATGTAATAAAATCAGGCTTCAAAATGTAATAAACTTGCGCTAAAACCGCATTATGTAATAATTGACACAAAATGTAATAAAATCCTTCAACGCATTATGTAATATTTTTATTACATTTTGCGGCAATTGTTACAAAATGTGGTGGTGTAATAATTTGGTGCATTATGTAATAAACAACCAAAAACCACTATTTCTGTTCATCCTAATCAATATACTTGTAATAACTGTCATGTTGCAAATACTACATAATTAAATCTTTATAGTTTTGGTCAATAAACACAAAACTTCTCATCTTTTATTTGCATTTTCAGTCAAATTCTAGTGTATATGGATGTATAGAGCAATCTCTCAGATTTTTTTCATGTTTTATGGAATCTTTCAAAAACAGTTTCTAATTTATTACGCCTGTAGGACGTTAAAAAACAATTATTAACATCAAATATCCACTTCCAACCCACTCTATTGCTAGAAACAAGTTCTTCAAACCTCATTTCCTTCTGATACAGAAGCCGACAGTCCGCCTGCACCATGCAGCGCCCCACCTCCCTCCCCTTCGCCACTGATCGTCCACCTGCAACCCCTCGCGTGTGATTAATACTTTTTTTTTTTACGAAAATTACATATTTTTAAGGCTCATTATACAGGTAAACATCTGAAGGGGTTGACATGTACATACAACTAACTTTTAGATATATTTTGGGAGTTGTCTACAAAGTGGAATAATTTCTGTAACAGGGATCAGGACAGTAAATCTGAAAATGCAAATAAAGAGAAGTTCTGTGTTTGTTGACCAAAGTTATAAAGATTTAATTATGTAGTATTTGCAACATGACAGTTATTACAACTACAGTATATTGATTAGGATGAACAGAAATACTGGTTTTTGATTGTTTATTACATAATGCACCAGATTATTACACCACATTTTGTAACAACTGCCTCAAAATGTAATAACGTTATTACATATTGTGGTTTTAACGCGAGTTTATTACATTTTGAAGCCTGATTTTATTACATTATTACATAATGCGCTGTTATTACAAAATGAGGTCTATGTTACACTGGAATAATAGAGGTTTCTCACTCAGATACCGCAGAGATGCACGGTCTTTAGACGAGGAAGAGGAGTTGTGGTTCAACGATGACGAGGACGATGAAGACGGAGAGGCGGTGGAGAGGAGGATGGAGGATGACTTCTCCGATAGCTACGAAAAGTTCATGGAGGCCAAAAAGGGTAAGGTGTAATGATGTGAATGTGTGCAGCATTTCGAAAGCCCCCACCCCCCAACACTTCTGCTGTTTGTTTGTGCAGGAGCTGCTAACGGAGCCAACGGTGCCAACAACGGGAAGTCTGCCACAATCCCTCCCGCCTCACCCACAGTAGCTCCAAACAGTTCCTCGTCCACTGTTAAAACCGTCGCTCTTCCTGCCACACCTGTCGTAAAGGTAATCCAGACTTTTTATCGGAAACATTTAGAAGGCTTTATTTTATTTCTGTCAATAAAGCGTATTTTCTTGTCCTGTTTCTTATAGACTGCCCTTGTTGGTTTGGTGGACTACCCTGATGACGAGGATGAAGAGGAGGAAGATGAGGAGGAGGACCAGTCTCCACGAAAACGACCTCGTTTGAGCTCATAAGACTTCTTGTCCGGTCATAGCGGACAGACGTCGAGTTCCTCCTGTCCCCCTTCTTCCGGTCGTGTCATTGGTCCTCGGCCAGCCCGTGCCACCTTTCAGTCTCACCGAGAAGACAGACGAAGACGAGCTCCTGCCTTTTTCAGTCCTGAACTCTGTCGTTTGCTCTCTCTGAGTAAGGAGATGGATTTCTCTGGAAAGACGCGTCAGTCTCTTCCTGCAGACAGATGATTTTTTTAAAACATTTTTTTACACTTAACTCTTTCTCTAAGATGCCCAACATTTGCTTTTTTGTTCCTCCTGAGGAGAACTTCATTGATCTTTGTCTGCGCTTACCTGTTCTTTTCCTTCCTCCACCGCTCACCAAACCAACCACAGATTGTGGGAATCACAATATTCCTTTTTACTCCACTGTATTGCTGTTGCAACAGTAGCAAGAAAGCCATGGCTCAACAGCAGCCCTTTAAGTAATTTACCAAACTGAACCAATGGGCTCCAGAGGCAATGGAAGCCAGAAAAAAAAAAGCCAGTCTGCAAACTGTTCGACTGGCCTTTCAGGCTCCCAGGACTAGCAATCGAATAAATAAAAAGCCTGTCTGAAGTTGAATGTGTGCTGCCTTGTCACAGATAGAGGGATCTTTGTAACAGAAATATTAAGAGAGAGGTGACGAGTCAAATGAACCCTCAGCTGTAATGATGCTTCGATCGAGTAGAGCAGGACTCCAATCTTTAAAGGCCATAGCATCAGTTTGGTTCAAAACACACAAAACAGTGTCACAGGATTGTTAGCCAGAAGTCCTGTATTTCAAGAATTTTGTTGAAGTACTGTACATACGTTTTTTTTTGTTTTGTTTGTTTTCTTTTTAATTATTTTTCACTTGACGTGGTTTGAAAGTGGAAGGGAATGCCCACCTGCTTGAGTTGTGTTTTTGGTCACAAAATGGTGGAAGTGGGGGGATAGGGTCACTCTACCCTTTGAGTTTAGTTCATTTGATTCAAAGTAAAATGCAGAGGTTGGTATAAAAAAATACATATGAAAACTGCAGTAAAGTCACTTTCGCAGACAACAATTTGAGGATGTCTGTAGTTCTGTATTTTAGTCCAGTTAAGAAAGTTAGTTTTATGATTTTTACACCTAATGACAGCTCAAAGGTTTTAGTTTTAACCCAGTGGTAGGCCTGGGCTGTTGGGCTTCAAGTAGATTTAATGCTCTCTTTTGTTTCAGATCTCAGGTTTAGAGTTGATTTCCATAAGAAACCAAAAGTCACCCGCTTTGTCTGTAATATCGTTGGATAAAAGATAATTCATTACTGAGGAAGTGAGGTGAGGTGCTCTGCGGGGGCTTTTTTTTCCTATTTTGAAGGTTTGTAATATCCCAGTTGAGATTTCAGTTCAGATGAGCTTTAACAGCAGAGGTTTTCCATGTAAAAAATTTTTGCAGTAAAAAATACATTGAAGGAAAAAATTGATATTGAGCTGTTTTTATTAGTTGTGATTAAAAAAAAAACTTAACCCCTGCAGTGGGATAAGTTCATTGTCAGGTTGAAACTTTTCTTGTGCTGTTTCTCCTGGTCTCAGAACGCGCACAAAGTCAAATGAAGGGATACAAAACTAGATATCAGATCCACGCTGAATACAGTAGGGTTGAAGCACAAAAAAAAGCTTATTTTTATTGTGTTCGTCAAGAGTTTAACGGTGATTTTTCTTTTTCCTCAGTCTGTCGGCATCATCCAATGACTTTTTCTGCTTTCCAATGAATTTGTACCAAGTGCATTTACTACCACTATTCATTCTTAACATTTGTATGAATTTATTTGATAAGTTTTGAAATTAAATGTGACCCTGACATTGATCTTGTGAACCTGTTTATTTTTGTCTATAAAAATCTGCTATATATTTATAAAGAACATTTTCTGTAATATTTTTGATTAAACAGCATAAAAGTTAAAAAAAAAGCTAGATGCCACATAGCGGTAACATAATGATCCCCGCACGCACAAATGCACCAGAACTCAGAAGACTGCATCCCAAACGTATTGGTTTGGGTGGGGGGTCTTTTTGGGGGGGGGCATTGGACCTGATGGATAGCCCCTCAGAGCTAAACAAAAGAAATCTGAAGCTCCTATTTTGAACAGTTTCTGAGTTATAAGCATTTTTGCATGTCCAGACACCCCCTCTTTGAAAGGAGCCCCCTCCTCAAATATGGGGTCTATCGTAAAACCGTTGGCTGGCGCAGTGTAGGTCAGACTCATCTACAGTCCTGCCAAATTTTATGTTGATCGGTGCAGCTGTTTTTGTGCTACGGTTGACCAAAAATCACTGAAAAAACAGTACGAAAACAATATGACTCCTGCTTAAGCTTCACGTGCGGAGGTCATAATAGAGGTTTAAAACAAAGCAACTAGATGGAAGATATTTTGTTTGCCATCTTTAGGTTTTAACAAGCTTTGTTCAGAGTTTTGAGATTAAAGTCAGAATTCTGACTTTAAAGATTCATCAGTTCCTGGATGACTACACCAGCATTAAACCAAAAGAAACACGCTCAGCTGAGTTTTTCTTGGCAACCTTTACAATTCTTTATCCACTCAAAGTCAGGAGTCCAAGTCGTTTCTACAAAATGTGATTTATTAAAACAGCATACATCATTTTTACATATAAATACTTGTAGAAACTGGTGCACCATGATTGCGTAAAGTGAAAACTGTTGATTGGTTTTAACAAATACTGTGCGCCTCACAGAAAGCAACAAACCATTTTCTTGGCCCCTTTAGGAATATATGTAAGTGTTAATCACTCAAACCTTTAAAGTTTAAACATTAGGTGCTACAAGAAAGAAGCATTCCTTTTAGTAATGTAAAAAGTGTCAAAAGCAGGATGTGTCCACCGTAGCACAGTTTGTCACTGACTCATCTCCACATGGTCCAAGCTGAACTCTGTTTACTGTTGTCTTTAGGAAAATAGCCTTATGGTTGTACCATAAATAACTTCCCTCAGCTATAAAATTAGATTTTTGAATTATTCTTATTGGATTAACAGAAATTTAACAACAATATACTATTTATATTGTATTTTAGGCCTTTGTCATATTTTGTCTATAATTATAAAACATGATTATTGAAACAACTTTACCTCAGCCCTGAGGAATGTTTAACTCATTTCAGAGGCCATTTTGCAGAAAAAGGACTAATATATATGTTTAATTGTCCAATTTTAGAAGAACAGAAATGTAAAAAAATACAGATTTATATGTCTTTCTGAAGCAAACAAAGACTAGCACATCTTTAAATGCTTGAGTGGTTTATGTCCAAATCCTAAAACATTTAAAAGACTGTCCTGATGCATCTCAGTAGTCCAGGTAAAAAAATCAGAAAGAAAAAAATTGTATAGGTCTTCTGGACATCCGGGAGGGACTCAGAGTAGAGCCGCTGCTCCTCCACGTCGAGAGGAGCCAGTTGAGGTGGCTCGGGCATGTGGTAAGGATGCCTCCTGGACGCCTCCCTGGTGAGGTATTCCGGGCACGTCCCACCGGGAGGAGGCCCAGAGGAAGACCCAGGACATGCTGGAGGGACTATGTCTCTCGGCTGGCCTGGGAACGCCTTGGAGTTCCC